CGTCGGAGGGGTTTACCACAGCCGGGCGGCCCCAAAACCGCCGCGGAAGGGGCTCTCCTCACAACACCTCCCACCCTCAGAGAAGAAGGTCTAAGAGTCAATCCCAGCTTCTGGCTCAACCGGGCTTTTATTGCTGTGCTTCAAACATAACACTTCTGAGCATACCAATACAAAACATAATCGTTTCAGAAACCAAAGCATTGCAATCCTCTCAAAAACAGCAGCAGCCTCTTCGTTCCAACCACCTGGGCTCAGCCAGCACAGTCTTGCCTCACATGAAGGGAAGCAAGAGCTGGAAGCTCCTCGCTCTCAAGCTGGCATCTGGTGCCTGAGTTTAATATTATACAACTCAAAAAGACCCTAGTGAACATCACAACCGGAGTCCGTGTTAACACCGATGGTGTTAAATCACTTCCAGCTCCCACTGTGAAGGTGAGGAGGATATCAAAGTCCATGCCATCACCTACTAGCAGTTTGTTGACGTCCTCATTTACAGGAAGTTTGTAGACATGTATATGTACACAGAAGCATTTTTGAAGTTCATTGTAAACATTAATCTGTAGCTTCTAATTTACTTATAATGTTATTACTTTTTAAAGTGTTCAATACATTATCATAAGCCTTGCTATCTATATACCTTAACTCATCCAGTAACTTAATAATAGATTGTTTCTTTCCCAATGTGTTTTTCCAGGTGAGAAGCATCTGATAAGATTGCTCTTCTATATCATTAGGAAAGTCACAAGTAATTTTAACAATAACATTTTCCTTCAGATGAGTTGTCATAAGCTGCCTCCATTTTTTCGGCGGTACTTCCTTTATAAAGGCCCAAAAGCTATCTCTCAGTTCTGAAAGAAAAAACACAGAACACACATCAGCTTAGGTTCTAAAATACAGATTTTTCTTTTTTTCATAGCTAGCGTACACATTTTTCCCATTAATTTTCAGCCAATACACACACTGACCAAACAGCAGCAGCAAGGCCAGGTTTGACACCCAAGAAGCAGGACGACAAATAGGTTTCATAATCAGTGATCTTGAAAGAGACCAAAGGTACCAGTCTACATAACTCAAAGACACCATTCAGCAGAGGTGGTTTTGAGGAAGGTTTCATTAGTCTGCACTTCTTCACTTAAGCTTAATAGGGCTACTCAACAGTAGGCTTTAACCACTTCACTATGCTACTGGTATACGTTTGCTACACCAAGACCAGCATTAGCAAAACCCATCGCTTGGGCATCCAGCACATCAACTTGCTGGGTACAGGTAGATGTATGGGGATTCAATGCAGTCTTCCATGTGAGCAGTCATTTGACAGAAAGAGCTCCTGCTCTGACCTGCACCTCACTCATTAAGGCAGGGTACACTGCTGCAATGCAGACTTGTTTAAAAACACACACAAAAAAATTGTACCATTCTTATTCTTTAAAGCATGACCACACTACACTCCTGTCCAGAAAAGTCATAGTCATGCCTTGAAGTAGAACAATTCACCACAGGGATTACAACTTCTCTCAAATGTAGTAATAATCCTGTTTCAGTGTATTTTACTATAAACTGAAAGCCTTATAGCTCTAAGCAATATTCATTAGCCTCCCTACACTATTCCTTAAGTAGATTAAAGTCAACAGGAAAAAAAAACAAATTCCAAGGAGTGAAAATTTATGGAATACTTACCTTTTTGAGAGAGATCTTTAACAATTATTCGATATTTTGGTTCTCGTACCTGTAATACAAAGTTAGACACATCAGAGCGTTTCACTCACAATTATACCTGAGCTACTTCACAGCTTGCTTCCACAACACACACCAATAAGGGGGAGGGCAGGTGATTTCATAGCACAGCTGAAAGTATTTGAGTAAAGAAAATTTCGTACTGAAACAGCCAGGCTACTAGCTCTGAAGTGAGCAACAAGGCATCACGTTTGCTGCTATTGCAACAGAATAGCTTCTGTGTAAATATTGAACAGGGAGATGAAAGAGGCAGAGCAGATTAAATGAGGAACTGAAGTTGGCTTTCCCAAAATATCACTTCCCGTTCTATTACATCTTTAAGGCAATGCCTCCTCTTCCCTATCGTTCTGCCTGAAAACAGCATCTAGTTAATTCAACTGAAATTACACGTGTGTCAGAGAAAATACAGTGATAATTTCACACATGCTTACCATATGATTTGCCAGCGTCCTACCACTTCGTGCGTTAGACAGGGCATTCTGATGAAAAGCAGAATTCTGCCCAGTTTTTGCTGGTAATGAAGGCTTGGCGATCCTCCTCCAGCCCCTGCGCAGGATGGTGCCCCACCCAGAAAGTGCAACACCGTTTTCCTCTGGTAATGTGTTTTTTACTTCCACGTCAACGTTGGTTTGCGCTTGGCCCTCTGGGCTGTCACCAGAGTTCTCACACTCTGGGTTGGCTATCTTATTTGCAGGTGTCTCCACTTCTGGTAAAATGAGGCTTTCAGTACTGTCCTCACACTCCTGTAAAGAATAAGAATTTTAAGAGATGTTTCATAGGTAGGCCTTCAAGGACAGTCTGGAGGAAGAAAACACAATACTTGAAATCACCAGATGTCAGAGAAATAATAGGAGAGCTGCTCATTTGTCAAAGTTACAAACATGCAAATGTTACAGCCTTTATAGACTTAGACTTCAAATGGTTTCAGAGCCTCAACTCCACTTCACTGGCTGTTCTGCTCCCACTGGACTGCGGTGTAAGGCTCGCAGGCTGCCTCCACCACAAATGCATGAAACTTTTCCTAATGTTTTCTCATTAGGAAATGTCACATTTTCCTGATGTTTTCACTGGCTATTTGCTCCTCCCTAAGTGTGGAAGATGTGCACCCCTCCCAAGGCAGGAGGAAATGAGATTGCCTTGCTGCACCTGAGCTGACTTAAACAGCAACAAGGGCCTCAAGCCTATCATTGTCTCAAGGCTGAAGCTGTTAGAGCTTTTGCAGAGCTGGTAATAGCCTGTTAGCTCCATGTAAGTACACTAGCTTGGGCCTTTTTTGGCTGGATTAGTTTTTCTGGCAGATTCACGAACTATAATCAGTTGAAAGAATCCAGGCAGCACCAGTGCACATTGCATAGCTTTCATGAGGGGACACAGAGGGAAGCAAATAAGGAGAACTGCATAATTTTTTACCATTGTCAATACAGGAAGCATATGCCAGGGAATATAGCTCTAATTCATCATGAACAGTACAAGTACAAAGCAGACCAGCATCTATCTAGCATATCAGCTAGTGCTGAAACTGGAAAGCTTTAGGATTTTTTTTTTTAAGGTGGAAAACAAGGGCAAAGAGTGACTTTTTCAAGTTAGATTTGTGTTTAAGGTACAGTTCCCCCATGAGCGTAAGCCAGTGTGATTTCTGTTTGCACAAGGTCAGTGACCCACATGTGACCAACATGCATAGGCAGGGATGTGAGGGGAACCAGCCCACACGTCATACACATAGTTGTACATCATCCTCATTGATTTGATTTTCTGTCTGAGGGTGCAAACAGGTTAAACAAGTTGATCCTATTTATACAGATAGGTTCTTAAATAGGTATCTGAGCAACTGAAGGTATACAACATGGCTGACTAATAGCTGCTGCTCTATTTTGGAATGAAAGTATCAGCAGTATTTTTGTCTGTTTTTTTTAAACAATGGTATAAATTCACCAGTACTTTGGAAAGGACAGTGTGTTGGTGCCAAAACCCCTGGTCCCAGGACTGCGTCAGTGTAATTCTCCTTAACAAATAAGCTTTTTGTTACAGTAGCACGTACACTCCAAGTGCAAGTACATTGCAACTCAAGTCTGTGACCACTCTTATGTCAGAGCTAAGTGTCACCATGCACTGATTTGTGGTTGCATTATTTACTACAATTTTATTCAAATACAGAGATGTTATATTTGCCTATTCCTATGCTACAGGACTTTGGCCAGGTTTTCTGTCATGCTTCTTCATCAGCTTCTATGAATACACAAAGCACTGCGAATCTGGCCAGGGCGTGGGGGGAGACACAGCCCAACAAAAACCCATGGGTGATTCACACATTTGAGCCACTTATGGACCTTAAAAAAAGAAAAGAATTTAAAGGTGATGTTTTTAACAGATCTTTCAACTCTGTTTCTTCAGTCTTCAAGTATCTGTGATATAATTAAGATGCATTTAATTACTCTAAATGTCAAACTAGCAAGATTAGACAAGAGCTCACACACCAGGTGAGTACTGCATGCATTGGGTGGGGGACAAGGAAGGCAACAGGCAGAAGGTGCTATATATGTGCTATGAGAGGAATCCGGATGCTTTTCTTAGATCCTCAAGACAAACTTTTTTTTTTTAAAGAGCTTGGAGTTATGCATTATTAACCATACTAGTGAAGACTGAGCTCATTTTTGCCTCACCATGCTGTTAGGAATGTAGCTAGCTAGATACAAGCTAGCCTTGTATTTATCTTCAAGGAGATTATTGATAGTTTAGCATTTTGCAACTGAAACAGCAAGGTTCTGAAATAGCGTTTGACTACAGGAGACCAGGGTGAACCTAGTTTTAAGGTGGAACATATGCCAGCAACCAGCCTTAGCTTGGTAAGCACTCTTCAGAAATGTGCTTCTGAACTGGTACACTGAGCCCTGAACCCTTTGTCTTATAGGACTGTCTAGGACCAAGAAGTTAGACTGCCAGGTCCTGGTCTGTAGCTTGTGACACAAGCCCAAAGGCAGTAAGACTCAGTCACTTTGCTGGGTTAAGAGAAGTAAATCTTATGAAGAAGTGATGCTGTAGTCCAAACGCAAGGAAAGCTAGAACACCACCATGCAGGGAAGTGATAGCTGACGTTGCCTGGGGAATACATGCATGAAGCATCAAAGAACTAACTGGATCAAGGCATCACTTGGAGACAGTTTGAAGTGAAAGCTTGCACTTAGCCTAGTTTTTTTTCCACTTTCAAAACATCTTGGCCACAGGCTCTGGAATGTTTCCAAGGGAAGTACTGGAAAGGCCAACTGCAGTGGACACATGCAGCTAATAAATGCATCGGGCCCTTGCTAACATCTGGCCCTGTATGAAGCATAACAATCACAGGAACACATCCTGCCAGCAATCTACAGCAAGACAAAAATTGTGAGCTGTGTATCAGGTACAATTAAGTAGTGCACAACACTGAGACGAAATACTTGATCCATCATATACTTACCAGACCTTTTTCTGCATCTTTATCAGTTGAAGCAGCTGGAAAAAAAGATGAACGACTAAGAAATTTTAGGAATTGCAGGTACTTAAGCATAGCTGAATTCATACAAGATTTATAAGCAGCAGACACATAACACAAACCAAAGCTCTAATACAAGCCAATTTGTTTCCTTGACCTGTCATACATTTCATGAGTACTAGCCTTAGCTTCCACCAACAGCACAAACACTATGCCTTCGTACAGTGGATAACAGTCTCACTTAGTAAAATACAGACCACAAGATGTGGTTTGGCTTTTATGCCACTCTTTCAACCTCCCTCCCAGCTTATGCTTCTTAGCATTTTTTGTGGGCTATTGCAATAGAAAAAAGGCAGAAATTGTCTTTACAGCAATACAATCAGTAAGACATGATTTGAACAAAGTTATTCAAAATTCAGAATAATTTTTAACTAATTATTTTAACTAAACTAGATGCAAAAAAAATTTAATATGCAGTAATGGAAAGAAAAGTTTCTCAGGAAAACATATTCATTACCACTAAAAAAAAAAATACAATGAATTCACACAGGACTTACCAACCTAACATTCACATTAAGAGGTTCAAACATGAAAGGGCAACAATTTGTAAAAAAGTTTCCAGTGCCAAACACAATGAAAGAAAGTAGTTAATGATCTACTTAGTTGCAATTTCTTGCCACATATATCTGAGTTCACAGATTTTTCTTACTAATGCCGATACAAGGACAGTAAATGGCTTTAAACTGAAGGAGGGTAGATTTAGGTTAGATGTTAGAAAGAAATTCTTTACTGTGAGGGTGGTGAGGCACTGGAACAGGTTGCCCAGAGAGGTTGTGGAGGCCCCATCCCTGGAAGTGTTTAAGACCAGGCTGGATGGGGCTTTGGGCAACTTGGTCTAGTGGAGGGTGTCCCTGTCGATGGCAGGGGGGTTGGAACTAGATGGGCTTTAAAGGTCCCTTCCAACCCAAACCATCCTATGACAGATAGCAAAAGTCCTTTTAAGGACCTTACACTACTCCAGCTTTGAAGTAACAGCATCTGTCAGCAAAGTAAGAAAGCTCAAAGTTTATGCATTTTATTTACTGAGCAAAACTAGTCTCTATTACATGGGAGTTACTTAATTGAATCACATACTAAATGAGCTAGAGCTTAAACAGGTCCCCCATCAGGTAACACAAAAGCCAGGGATAGCCTTAGTTGCATTCTTTGCCTAGATCTGGAGAGTTTATGGACAGTAATCATGCAGTTACCTTTGTCCCTCTTCAGCTTTCTAGTTACAAAGCACAGCAACAACCAACCAACCACAACAACAACCAAAATCACCACAAGAATCCAAACAAAAGCTGTGCTTCCTGTGAAGGAAAAAGGAATAAAATTAGTACTGAAGAAGCCCCCAAACAAGATATTCTGAAGTGCAAGTCTTCCCTGCTGTCCTAGAGAACAGACTAAGCTCAGCACTAGCACAACCACCCAGCTAGCTTGTTCTGGAAAAGGCACTGGGACTATCATCTGACCTCAATACACAAGTACTTGTTCGCACTGCACGTCATTATCCCAAAGGCAGTGGGAGATTCTGTACCAAGCTGCAATACAACTTCTACAAGGCTTTCTGAAGAGACATTTAAGAAAAGATGGAAACAAGTATGCAAAAGACGACAGCAAGCTTCAGGTGCTATAGTGTTGGTAGTGTCAGCTTCTTTCTCTAGTCTAGCAGAAGCTGTCTACCAGCAGAAGAGAAATCCACTCCATACGCAGCTTCTCAGGCATACAAAAACATGAAAGAAGTCTTTTCACTATCCATAACTTTCAACAGTGTCACTGTTGCAGCTTTGAAAGCCTGGCCAATATACATAGGTTTTCACCAAGTGAAATTTAACATGCTTTGTCACTCCAACCCCTTTGAGAAATTGCCTGTAGCAAGTAATTCCCAGACCAAAATACAGCAGCTCTTAAACACGTTACAGCAGTTCAAACCACTGTTTTACACACTGCTCTAGTATTACTAGCCTGAAGCCCCAAACCCAACAAACCAAGCTGAGTGGCATTTATGTACCAGACCTTGATCGGGTAAGCCACATCCTAGGTCCGTAGTAGCATTGCAATTCTGCACAATTTCTTTTCCATCCGGACATCTGAAGTAGATGGCAACACAGGGTTGTAACAACATTTCCAGAGCAATATACAGTTCTGCCCAGGCCTGATTTTTTTCAGGCAGAGCTTAGAGACACAAACAGAGCATGCACAAACAGATAATTTTGTTAGAGGTGCACCTTTCAACAACCCAAGATAATACTACAAGATTAAATAGAAACAAAGCAAATAAAGCTCATGTATGTTAGCCTCTAAGTGGCAGGAAAAACCCCACAGAGTAGATGCATTATTCATGCACAGTTAGTTTCTTTCAGCAGGTGGTTTTACCTCCTGAAATTTTGGACTGGCTGCTACAAAGCTCATTCAAGTGTGTATGTGAGGAGGTACTAATCTGAAGACATGAAAAGTGTAAACTTACAGCCAGAAGCCACAGGGACAACAATACCAAAATCCATATCTTTCTAGGTCTCAACCTCACGTATTTTGACACCTAAAATTTAAATGCATGAATAATGCCATTTGGCTTCAGGGCAATTATTTACTGCCTAATAACATAAGTTAGGTATTGGCACAGATTGGGCCACAGCTCTAACACTCCTTAGAAGAAAAGGTTGCTTATATTCATTATCAAACTTACATTGTACTGCATCTTTGACATATTTCACAGCCCTCAGCAGGGCAGAAATACCCTTGTTTACATTGGCATTCAGTATCATGCGTCAGAGTACAGGGTCTCAAAGTTATCTGATCTAAAAATAAAATACAAGTTAAAGAGTAAATATAAAATTTGTGACTCTCTAAAACTGTGTAAAAATCATACTCAGGCCATAAAGGCAGTTTATGTCTAAGTTCAATAGCCTCAATGACCAGAAGTGAAAAAAACCCCAGAGGACTAGGCTTTCCACATTTAAAAAAAGGGGAAAATGGTTAAGGTTTCATGAAAATTGTGCTTAGTACCCTCTTTGCATTGTCTGCATGACAAGCACTCTTCCAAGCCGTTCTCATGGGCAGTATAACCCTCTCCTTCGGTGCAAGGGATGCATCTTCCTCTCACATGCGGAGCACTGCAGTGCTGAGCAACATAAGTACCTGTGGAAGAGGAGAACCAGCAACAGCAGCAGCCTCAAGTGATCATTTAACAGGCAGAGAACTATAACAGGATGTTACAGCAAAAAGCCATTTTTGGTGAAGGTTCAATCCCTCCTCACCAGCAAGTGGTGTGCCACACGAGCTGAGCAGCACAGCAGGGCCAGGAGGTACACTCACAGCTTGCCGCTCAGATAGAGCGGTGGCAAACAAGGCGTCTAGCCAGGCCTCTGCTGGGACACACCGAGGACAAGGATGACTCACTGCAGCAGCTCAGAGTCACTCACATGGTCAGCGCCATGTCCTCTGAAGGGGCATGGTCGGGCACAGGGAGAATTGCTTATAAAAACCTCTCCTCTCATTTGAGTTATCTTCAAATACACCAGGTAGTCCTCCAATATTGTCTAAGGGGAGTGTGCTTCTTGGCACAAAGCTTGGTAACTCCGCACACATTGAGCGAAGACAAACCAAAGTTTTACCTACAGATACAGAAATACCAGAATTCCCCTAAGCCCGCTCTTTGTGCTAACTAAAGTTTTTTAAAAAACCAACAACAACACACACCCCAAGAAAACCCACACCACCACCTGACTTTGAACACTTCAACAGCAGGCAGACATTTCCTGGCTTGCAGCCAAGGCACCTCTCCCAGTCATCACCTATTGCACAAGGGCTCTCACTTCTAAATGGAGCACCAAGAAGCCACCATAGCTCCAACGGGGCTTATGCTTTCACCAGATGCAATGTAAAAAGCAGCAGTGGTGTCATCTCCATGGGGAAAAAGACATGGCCGTTATCAGATATAATGGCCTGAAGTCTTACCTGCTGGACAAGATACGCAGCAGTGACCTTCATGTAAGTATTCTCCCTCCCTGCAGTCCTCTGCTCGGGTACCAGTCATTATCAGCAGTGTAACCTAGAGCAGAGACAAACAGGTGTTTGAGTGATTCATTCTCCCAGGACATGATAACCATCTCGGGGAGATGTTCCTGTATAGACTTGAAAACACATTCAGAAGTTCGTGGGAAGCCACAAAGGAAACCCAAACTAATTTCTGTTAAGCGTGCCACTCACAGCAATAATTACAATCACAAAGCCAGAGTTAGAGCAGCACCGTACAGCGGCTGAGGGGTTTTAGGCAACTATTCCCCGAGATCCTCACCTCCGTTTTAAACTTCTACTTTATTTTAGCTAATTCACTGCAATTGAATTTCAGAGGCCGAGGTTTCTGCCTTGTGCAAGGGATTCCTCCCCCCCCCCCTTTTTTTTTTTAATTCAGAAGGGTCAGTGTTAGTTTTCCTTCAGCAAAATGGAGGAAACGCCCCAGAGATCCCATCCAACATTTCTCGATGACTTTGTAATCTTCATCAGAAGGCAAATAATTGAGTCATTCACAAAAAAAAAAAAAAAAAACCAAACAAAAAAACCCAAACCCAACCAAACCCTTATTACAGCCAGAGGAGCATTAGGACTTCCCCCCGCTTTAGAAGCCTGCGTGAGCACAGCCCCCAGCAAGCCTCCAGCGGAGCGGGCCGGCTGACGCCGAGGATCCCAGCACCTGAGAGCCCAGATGCCGCGGGTTTCGGGCCAACGAGTTACAGCCCTCACTTACAACACACACGCGAGAGAAAGTGGTTAAACAGAGGCAGGAAGAGGGGAAGGGACGGCCGCGGAGCTCCCCGTCACTAATTGCGGTCAGCGGCCGCTTTCTAAGCTGAAAGTCCCCCTGCCCGGCTCCCGCAGCTCCGCTCTTTCTTCTCGGGGGACTGAGAGTCTTCCCCATAACCATGTAGTTTAGAAAACGGCCAATTTCACGATTAGATAACGTGAGGACTATCAAAGAGCTCACGCCTGGCCTAATTTTTTTTTTTTCCACGAGTGGAGAAGGAAGGGCGGCAGCGGTTGCGTCAGGGAGACTCGGGAGAGGCGCCACCTGCCCGCAAGTCTCTTAGGGGACTCGAGTTTAGGGCTGGGGCTACCCCCATGGCAGCGGCGCTTAGCCTTTTTGGGTTCAGGGGAGCTGCCTTAACTCAGGATTCCCGAAACTTCGGACAACACGTAATAAAAGTTAAGGGAAGCTACTAAAGTCTCTTGAGGAAAAGGAGAATAGAAAATGCCGCAAGGCTCCTCCACACTGCACTTCTAGGAAAGTTTTTTTTTCTTCCCTTTCAAAAGGAGGAATTTAGGGGCTGGCTACCGCCAGGTGCGAGTCTCCACTCGGGCAGAGGACAAGTTCCT